TGTTAAACCAGATTAAGGGGTTCTGATGTTAAACCAGATTAAGGGGTTCTGATGTTAAACCAGATTAAGGGGTGCTCAGGTCTGATGTTAAACCAGATTAAGAGGTTCTGATGTTAAACCAGATTAAGGGGTTCTGATGTTAAACCAGATTAAGGGGTTCTGATGTTAAACCAGATCAAGGGGTGCTCAGGTCTGATGTTAAACCAGATTAAGGGGTTCTGATGTTAAACGAGATTAAGGGGTTCTGATGTTAAACCAGATTAAGGGGTTCTGATGTTAAACCAGATCAAGGGGTTCTGATGTTAAACCAGATTAAGGGGTTCTGATGTTAAACCAGATTAAGGGGTTCTGATGTAACCTTTGATACCTGATCAACATTCCTTGGACGCGTGCGGAGCGGCTAAGCTCCGCCCCTCCAGTTTCGGCAGATTAAAGAGTTTAACCGCAGAGAAGAACTGATAAACTCTAATCTGAACTTTAATCCCACAAACGGCGCCTTGTTGAACAGGTAAAGTCTTCACGTCCCGTCATAAAACACAAAACGAACTTTTCTGACACCCGACACCGAGCAGCAATGGCTGGAGCTGCCGAGGCCCGAGAAAAGGGGAAAACAGCAGCCAGGACTCGGAGCTCTGCACCCGGTCAGACCAGCAGCGACTCTCCGTCCTACAAAACACAAACCTCCGACAGGTTTATCAATCAATCAATCAATCAACCAATCAATCAATCCTGGGACTAGTTCTGAGCCGGACAAAACTCCTGTCCCCTGAGGACATGAAATCCCAAACTTCCACCGCAGGTACCGAGCCAACTCATCCCGCGGTGTTGTCGGTGTTCCGCCCGGGGTTTTATGCTCCGTCTCCCCCCAGGCGGTCCAGAACCAGAGTGAACGTACCGTGAAGCTCGGCCAGCAGCAGGCAGCTCCACAGCAGCAGCAGCTCGGCCAGCAGACCACCCATCTCCCGTCCTTCACAGCCACAAGTCCCGCTCCATGTTGGCTCAAAGATGGCCGCTGCTCCCGTCTTTACGAAGCTCGGTCGGTGTGAAGGAGCCGCTTTGATGTTTGTCGGCCCGGGAGTCGCTCTCAATCTACTTTTTACCGTGAAACACGCTCGCGCTTCTTTATACTTTGGACAATCGGGCTCGCGCACGAAGAAAAGGGCAGGCCTTAGTGGGCGGAGTCCTGCGACGTCACCACTACAGCCAGAAACTTTTCTTCTTCTCTAGTTGTTTTGATGTCTGTCACCGAATGGCGTCGGCGGGCGATCATGTCTGTCTGTTAGCAAAATGTTCAGTGAAAGTTTTCACTGGGTGTCCCACAGTTGGAGTCACCTGAATTCAACATGGCTGCCACAGTTAACGGACTTTAGCAAACAGCTGTAACTGTAAATTGAACTGATGTTGAGATAAAGTTGGTGCAGGAGTTTATCTCCATCACTCAGATGTCCCAATCGAACTTTTGTGTCCCCGATATTGATCAGAGTCCTCAAAAGATGGGGGTCGGTTAGGAGAATATGCATTTTTTCTTCTTTCGGCTGCTCTCTTCTCCACAGCGGACTAACTCGCACAGACTTGGTGACTGTTTCTAGGCCAGATGTTCTTCCTGACACAACCACTGACTTGTGTCGTGACTCGGTGCTTTGTACATAAACTGAACTGAATATCGTTGTCTGTCTGGAACAGGTCTCTGGTAAACGAGTCCTTGTGACTCACTGAGATAAACCTGTTTAAATAAAGAGTAACTTTTTTTACATGGTCTACAAGCCCTGTGATGGACTGGAGACCTGTCCAGGGTGTCCCTGTGATGGACTGGAGACCTGTCCAGGGTGTCCCTGTGATGGACTGGAGACCTGTCCAGGGTGTCCCTGTGATGGACTGGAGACCTGTCCAGGGTGTCCCTGTGATAGACTGGAGACCTGTCCAGAGTGTCCCCTGCCCCTCGCACAGTGACAGCTGGACATGGGCACCGGCGACCCCCATGACCCAAAATAGAAGAAGCAGGTAAAGATAATGGATGGATGGATGGATGGATGGATGGATGGATGGATGGATGGATGGATGGATGGATGGATGGATGATCTACAAGACTCGTGGATGCATAAAGCATGATGAGGGAGCATCTCAGGAACTTAAAAAATAATAAGAAACTATAGTGACCCAACAATTTTCAGTCAGGTCATCTGGACTGTTTCTTTTTTTGCTGAAACGTTTCACCTTCCATCCGGAAGGCTTCATCAGAAACTGTCCAGATGACCTGACTGAAAATTGTTGGATTGTATACCTGGATTATTGAGAATGAACATTTTTGGTTTTTAACCAGTTTGACATGACTGTCGACGAGGAAGAGGGCCGGCTCCAGAGGAGGGGGCGTGCCAAAGACACCATCTTAGCACCAACATAACTGGTTTGTTCCACTTTGGAGTAAGCTGTTTGGGGGAAGAATCAGTTTTGTGTTGTGTGTTTCCTTGACTGATGAAGCCTTCTGGATGGAAGATGAAACGTTTCAGCACAAAAAAGAAACTGTCCAGATGACCTGGATTGTTTACCTGGATTATTGAGCATGGACTTTGTTGGTATTTGGTGACCCCAAGACTGAAGTAGCGCTGTGTTTGTCTTTATACTGAAAGATGCTTTTCAAGTTTCTTATCAAGGTTGTTCTGTGATGCTGTGAAGATCGTAAAGTGAAGAGGCCTAAAGAAACAACCAAGCTCAGATATAAACAACTATTGTTTTCAATATTTTCTGTTTTGTTGTCCCCTGTTGCAGAGCGAAGAGGGGGAATTGGAAATCCTGTCCATGCATGAATGTTGTGAGCACAATAACTTTAAAAAACAAGTGAGGTGCAGACTTCCATTTTTCTGTGTAGGCATAAGGAAGGTTCCTTTTCAAAACTGGGTTGCCAAGTTAAAATCCAAGATGGCTGCCACCTTATATGTATTAATGTAAACACAGTGAGTTGGATAACTTCTGACTTCCACTTTGATGTTTGATGCAAGTATGCATCACAAAGTTCACGTAAAAGTTGGGTTGCCACATCAAAACCCAAGATGGCCACCACTAAAAT